ATCACTTCCTTTTTCCTATCTTCTTCCCAGCATGTGAATGAAGTATGATCCATTTTTAGAAATGGATGAAGAATGTGTGTCCTGTTTTTACACAAACTCTGAACTGTTATTCTATATCAGATTGTCATCAATACTAGGCAAATTGAGATCTCAGCCTCCCAGTTGCCACTGAGCTATGAATGTCAGCGTTACTTCTTCTTGACTGGGGCTTCTGGGAATTATAGTTCAGCAAAATCTGAAGGGCCACAGACCCCTCATCCATTCAACTATAGCTCTTTGCTTTCAACAGCTGTCAATTGCCTCACAAAAATCAAATACTCAATGTGAAGACAATCACTGTTGTGAGGGGGTTCTTGGTGCTCTCTGAGCTTGGTTGTTTTCTTGCAGATATTCAAATTAGGGGTAGCACTGCTAGGACTCAGCTACTTTGGGCAATGAAACATCTGCAAGAAAACAACCACGTTCCTTCATTTCAACCCTAAGCTACAAATATCCCCCTTTATCAGAATCACTGTTGTTGATCAGTTTACCCGAGGACCTGTCATTCAGAGACATACTGCTTGTGAACGTGAAGATTTAGCAGTGATTGATAAGTTAAAATAGGAATAAATTACCGTTACGGAGTTAAAGGCTTCACCTGTCCTAGTATGTTGGAGGCTGGACTAATTGGGACCAGAACAAAGATATTTTACATTTCATTTCATTAATTATAGTTAGCATGCACACTTATCACACACATATTTTATCGTTCTCCCTTTGTATTGCAGTAAAGATCACAATTCAGGTAGCAGTAAATGTTGGTGAGGTTCTGGAAGGCACCGGTTGACAGGGTTGAGGTGGGGAGAAGGTCAACTAAGCAAAATCCTGATTCAATGGCAAGCAGACAGCAGACAGATGCAGAAAAGATACTTCCAGACCAGTCTTTTGTCAAATAATTACTCTGAACCTTCTGGGGGTAGGAGAGGCTGCTGGTTCCATATGTCACTTCGTATTCCTAATCCTACCAGACAATTGCTTCCAGTGCTTTTTTTCTAAAAAAAAAAAAAAAAAAGGTGCAGGAACTCACACACGTCATACAACCCGCCTTGCCTACCCTACAAGGTTCCATCCAAAAAAGGTGCCGAACTCCGTTCTGGGCGTTCTATGAGGAAAAAAACCCTGATTGCTTCTGACTGTGCAAAACGGAGATGCAAACAAAATACTGCTCCTCGCCTACAATCAGTGGATGGTGGAGGGAAGTACTGCTTCTCTTTTTGAAAAGACGGGGCAAAAGATATTTGGATTACTGGTTTTGACAGACTAAGAAAGATTAATGGCTCTTTTCCAAAGGATCTATTTATTACCATCAAGATTTGCTGTCTGGCTGGGATGCAATCTGTGTACCCACTGCAGAAAATATCTTTGTGTGTGTGTGTGTGTGTGTGCGCGCGCACACACACACACACACACACACACAATCGTTGAAGGAAGCCCACAACCTGGTTGCAGAGCCATGTTATCCTACAGGGGCACAAGACACTTCAATACCTAGCCCAATCTTTGGCAAACAGGGCAAGGGGGGAGGGCTCCTGTTGCTGCTGGCCTGGCCTTGATGCCCTCCTGCAGGGAACAGCTTCCCTTTGGAAGGGAAGGCAGCAGACGGCACTTTCCCACCACAGGATATGCCAGGTTCCGACTGCAGGTAATGATTTCATCAGTGCAGGGAGGATGCAATATCAGTGCCAAGGGAAGCAGGAACAAAGATCAAACACACACGAACATCTAGGTCCAATTAACACTCATTTGCATAAGCAGGGAAAGATCTCCCAAACTGGTTGAGCTGGAAATTCAATCCAAACCCAGCTGAAGGGAATGAGGCAGCCCATTCTACTGCACCTCAACCCCATCACAAGAACTACGATGGCAAATGTGTCCTTAGTGTATGCTGTTCTCGTCATCATCATCCACCGTCATTAAATTTATATTTATGTACTTACCGCTTTTATTACTTTATAAATAACTCAAAAAAGCAAACACACCTAATATTCCTTCCTTTTCCTATCTTACCCAAAACACCAACACTGTGAAGTGGGTTGGGATTGGCCCAAAGTCACCCAGTTGGCTTTTGTGCCTAAGGAGAGACTAGAACTCACAGTCTCCTGGCTTCTATGTCAGCATCTTAATCACTACACCAGAGTGGCTCTGTAAATTTATTTATATTTAAATGTATATGCCACCCGTCTCCTGACTCTGGGCAGTTATATCAAGATAACAAAGAGACCCCTGCCATTCCCTTATCGGCTTGGATGACGACAGAGATGAAAGACATCACCACAGAGTAAGTGAATGAAGCTTTCCTATGGTTCATCATGTAATCACATCATGCTATTACACAACAGCCAAAAACTCAGCCAGGATTGCAACTGGGTCGCAATCCCGCCCACTATACAATCAGATCCAGGCACCAAGCCTAGTGCTTATTAAGAACTGATTTTAAAAATAGTGGGCAGTAAATTAAAAGTCTATCTTGTATGCATGAAAAACTCATTGACAGGAGATCAAGCAGATAAAAGGCCAGCAAGAACATCAACATGTACAGGCATGGAACAATAGAAGAGCCTATCATTTGAAAATTATTTTCCCCAAACAGCATCAGATTATCTGATTCCCCAAACAGCGTCAGATTATCTGTTTATCTGTATAACAGTGATATATAAACCAAATATAAAACATAGTGAATTTTTAAAAGACTATCAGAATGCTGAGACTGGAAATGATGAACATGTAGACCATAAAGAAAGAGGGGAAATAAATTTCTCAAGGGAGAAAGTCCCAGAAATAGAAGGTTATCCTTTGAGAAAGGTTGCTGGGCGCATACTCCCTTCGTACTAGTTAGGAAGGGGGAAGTTAATCAGTAGTACTGCTTGACTGCAACTGACTAGTTGGGAAGAGAGAAATGAATCTGGGATACTGCTTGATAAGCTGCTTTCATCTATAGCTTCACACAACACATTATATATGGTAGTGTCTTTGATGTGATGTAACCCAGGCAAATGTGACCATATATAAACCAACCAACGTTTACCGTGATGTGCCAGTATGATTCTACAGGATTCCTAATCCATCTCTTAATCCGTGAAGGCTTAACCACAATTTCTCGTACGCAATGTTCTCATCGTTCTTTCTTTTGGCAACAACCCCAATACCATTAAAGCAGCTTGTTCTAGAAACATTAGTAAATGATCATGCTAACTCCCATCCTGGGAAACAATTCCACCTTCTAATATTTCCAGATCAAGTTTCTGTTACAATCATAGGAAGAAGCAAACGGCTGAGTAGAGTGTGGAATAAAAAGTTGAGGAGAAACAAGGGCTGAAATAATTAGTAAAGTCTCCAAAAACACAGTAATTGTCTCGAGAGGAAAAAAGTCCCCTTATGGGGACCTGAATCTTTCCAATGTGGTGCCCCTGAAAGATGTTGGTTCCCAGAATGACTGGCAAAAGGCTAAAGTGCCTCAATCTTCTGGGAATAGCAGGTTCCACAGATCTGGAAGTGCCAGGCAGAAGAAGACTATCAGGCCTACTGCCAGCAGATGGACCAACTGCTTTCAATCATGCCCAAAGTTGGCTTGTTCCAACAATCCCAGCTGAACAGGCAACGTAAGGAGAAACTTTCCAAAGCCAGAAGCTTATGAAAGATCTGCTATTGAAGAGCAAGTGGACTTTGACACAGCTGGAAAGAGGAGGCAGAGAGTGGTGAGGAGGGGAAAAAAAATAAGCAGCTTTGGATTATTTCAGCCTTTGTTCCTGTGTTATTTAATACCATCTGATCTGCCAAAATGAACAGGTTGTAATGGATAATCCTGCTCACCCCCCCACCTTATCTTTCTTTGTAGAGGAAATGGGTGACAAAAAATTAGTTCTTTCTCCTTAAGAGGACAGGTCTGTAACTTGGAGATCTATAGTACTTTTAAAGCCCTAATCCTGTGGTCCTTACAACTGGAGTAATTACTCAACAAATCTAACAACGCAGGGGCAATCATAGCTTTAGACATGCCTGAAATCCCCTATTTGATCTTCATTGATCTGGCTTCAGGTCCTCTTTGGGTACTTCAAGTACCTTGATTATCCTGAAGAATGGGGGAGACTGGGAGAGAGGCAGGAGAATGGGTGCCAGTTGATTCTCCTGGATGACCTGGCTATTTGTAGTGTTACTGGTCATAATACCTGTCCAGTTGGGAGGACTAGTCTCCCCCCCCCCCGCCGCCTTTCTCTTTTCAACTATGATGCTACTAAAGAAGCTGCAGTGAGGAATTACCCGAAGAGCATATGACTTTCCCTTTGGTTTCTGTGTATCAATATGATTGGGCACAGAAATAGTCTAGGAGTTTTGGAGACGTTTGGTAGCTTATACTTTTGTACTAATAGCTAGCAATACAAAGTACGAGTAGTTTTGTACTAATAGCTTTTGGGTGAAGTATAACAGCTTGTCTAGTACTTACATCAAGAGGTAGCAAAGCAATATCTTCCTTTTTTTCCTTCCTAACATTTTATTATTAATTTCATTTCTATAGCTGCCTATCTCAAAAATTCTAGGTCAGTGATGGTGAACCTTTTAAAGTCCGAGTGCCCAAACTGCAACGCAAAACCCACTTATGCATTGTTGGGTGCCGGGTGGGTGTGGCCCATTGCCTGAGTGTGGCCAATTGGGTGGGCGTGGCTGCGGTGGTAACAGCAGACTGGGTGGGACTAAAAAGTTCAATCAATCAATTCCAACTTTCAAGATCTTTTTTTTTCCTGCGAGAAGTTGACATTGACTGATTAATCTTTTTTTTTTTTTTTGCACACGGCGGCGGAGGCCTAAAGCAAAAAGGTTTTATAAAACCCAGCTGAAGGCCTACGACTGGACCGACGGCATGCGTGCCCACAGAGAGGGCTCTGACTGCCGCCTCTGGCACCTGTGCCATAGGTTCGCCACCACTGTTCTAGGTGGTGTACATCATAAAAACATAAAACAAATACAAAAATATGGAACGTGTATTTGTATGTCATCTTTGTGCAGGGACCCTGCCAACCTTCTTTATATTTTATTAAATTTTAGTATATGTGTTGCTGAAACGAGCACCCACTAATGCAGTTGATCCTTTTGGTTGTGTCAATAACTGGCCAACTGGCTTGTTCTCTGAGCTTGATATCAAGGGCGGAGAGTGGCTGGCCCAAAGTCACCCAGTTAGTTTTCATGGCTAAGGCAGGTCTAGACCTCAGTTTCTAGACCTAGGTTTCTACCTTTGGTGCCTTAACCATTACAGTAAACCAGACTGGCCTCTCTGCAAAGCAATATCTTCCTGAACCATAAAAATAATAGTGTCTGAGGTCTTCTGCAAGATAGTTTCAAAATGATTGGGGGGGGACGAGGGGGAGGCATGGGGAAATCTAGCAAGACGGTATATATGGGATGACAACTTAAGCTGACTTCTGTGTTATATAATAGCTCTATTTAGGAGCTGGGCAATCTTTTTTGGAAAATGAGTATTGAATGTAGGTGAAGAGAGCTAGGGAGAGGAAACTTATTCACACAAACACAGAGAGAGAGAGAAGAGAGAGAAGACTATATATTTAGAAACTGGCAATTCATAGTATAAACATAGTAATAAACAGTGATGTGGACATCATCTTACCTGAGAGTTTAAGTTGGACTATTGCTGTATGATGTACAAGGCTGGGCTCACTTAGGAAATTATCTGGAAACTTCATTGAGTGAATAATGTTTTAATAATGTTCTAATAATATGTGTGTGTGTGTGTGTGTGTATTGATCAGCCTGAATCAATCCACTTTTAAATGAAAAGTAATATAATTTATCATGCTGTCCCAATGCAGGTTTGTAGATAGATGTCAGCTAGGGCTGAGAAAGATTGTCTCAAAATCACCCAGCCAGGTTCTGCAAGTGGAGAGAACAGGGGTCTCCAATCCCCTGGGCGTGGCCTACCACCAGGCCATGGCCGATTTGCAACTGGGCTGGACGAGTGGTGGGCTGGCACACACATGCGCAGCCCAACCTGCGCGAGTGGAGGGGGGGTTCATGTGCACACATGTGTGCAGTTCAATTTGTGCAAACTGAGGTGCACACACATGCATGCTGGCCCACCGCTCATGCAGCCTGGTTCCCCTCCCCCCTGGACCGTCAAGCTGCAAAAGTTGGGGACCGCTGCTTTAAAGGACAAAACCAGCGCCTTGCATTGGACCTGGAAGCAAACTGGCAATGTAGGTCATGAAGGAGAGATGCAATGTGTTTCACTCTAGGGATGCCCATAACTACCTGCCCCATAGACCAGGGGTCCCCAGTCCCCAGGCTGCGGCCCAGTACTGGACCCTGGCCTGTCCGGAAGCGATGGGTAAATGTGCGTGCAGCTCTATTTATGCACCTGCCGCTGGTGTGGAAACATCCCCTTTCCCCCCCACCAGTCCACAAAGCCAGAAAGGTTGGGGACCACTGGACTAGAATGAGTCTCTGCTCCTATTGCAGCATCTTCATCACTACATCACACTATCACTGGCTATCTCTCTCCAACACACACATATAAACAAAATGGCAAAAGAATGATAAACAACTATCAATGCATACATATATTACATGACAATAATACCAGACAGCAAATAATACCAGAAATAGCTCCAAATCTGCTATATTTATTTTAACCATAAGAGCTCTAAAAATGCCTCACATACCAGAGGCACATTTTTGCAAAGAAAATAAACTTATCTTATAACAGCTCATTATGACTGTTGAAAAAGATCCTATTCTAAATCCAGCTTTGACTGAAATAAGGAATAGTTAACGTGGTTTTACAATGAATATATATCTTTTTTTTATTTGCATCTTTTTACCCATCATTTGACTTCATGTTTTTTCTGTTTTTTCAAATCCCTCCAAAAATCCACATTTAAATACATACTTTTGGAAATATGTGCTTTTGCACAAAAACTTTTTTAAAAACAAAAAAACAAGGCAAGCAGAAAATAGATTCTATTAGTAGCCTTTTTAATCTTTTAATGATTACAGTATGTATTAATAACAACTTAGCAAAAAAAAAAAACTTTCCTGCCAACAAAAAAACCATGGACTTTTATGTGAAATGATATGTGAATTTATTTCTGATATTAATCACAGATTTGTGAACTGAGTATGTTTTCAAGTTTAGTTCCTCTTGATTGAAAGCAATGGCCATCTGTCAATGTCATTATTTGACTAAGACTGAGTGGATCCTGAATATCTGATCATAAAACAAAGCAGGAATTCCACTCATGCCTGGGCTAAAAGGAGGAGTAACTTTTACATTAGCCTACAAGATGTAGATACAAAACATCTGGAAACAAATTCAAAATGTACTGACCTTTTTATAGAAATGCCTGGCCAGACAGATTAGACTTGCCCAGCCTAGTCCCTCAAGATGTGATGGACAAATCCCATTAATTCCTCTGGCAATATAACCAAACCATCCTGCCTGGGAATTCTGGGAACTACAATTATATCACATCTGGAGAACATCGGGTTCTGGATAATCTGAGCTACCTCTTTCCCTGTTTTAAGATGAAAGCAAACCATTTTTTGTAATCTTGTCTAGCATTTGTGTTGGGAGGCAAGGTTAACATTTTAATTAGCCCTGCCTCCTGCTGAGTTCTGCCGCTCTGAACTTGTTCTTAATGTTTTCAGATTAAATAAATTAAAACCACACTGATGTTTTATTGGGGGTTTTGTACATAGGACGTTTTTCTCTTTTACATTGTTTCTATCTGCCCCGAGGATACTTTTATGCCGTGCGCCCAAATATAAATGGTAAAGAAAGCAGATAAATGACTAATAAATAACACAGAGGAAAACCAGAGGAAAATAGATCCAGCAGTTTACCAGCCGTTCCTTTTTGTAATTGAATCCTAGATCACAGGGGAAAACCCTCCACAGCATAAACCAAGGGATGCTCCCACAACACCAAAGCTCGAAATCTGTACTTTTAAGACTTGATTTTGGCAAATGACAGATTACTAGGCAAGGGTGCAATAGGCACACACACAGATTTGGCCCACAGTGGCTTTTGAAACTTAAACCACAGTTTAAGTGATTTTTTTATAAAGCCAAAGGTCAACTAGATAGCTCTTCCACCCCCATTCCTGCAGGCTACTGGGACTCGTGGAGTGAGTCCCAACACTCTCTCAAGCTTTTTTATGTTGACTTCTCTACTCAGTTGCAACAATGTCCCACCGAGGCATGGTGGCTCAGCAACGAGAAGACGCTGGAGATGATCTTTGCTCCAGCGGTTCAAGTCCTAGCACTGCGTGGCAGAGCTCCCTCTCACTTGCCTCAGCTTTTGCCGGCCTAGCAGTTTGAAAGCACGCTACATGCAAGTACATAAATAGGTACCACTTTGATGAGAAAATAACGAAGTTTTTTTGGTAGTGTGAATCCAGGTGGTGCCGGACCTTCCCCAGTGTGACACGTGAGCATGAGGTGTCATCTGCTGAGGGAGAAGCTCTGGATGCCGCTGCAGAATGTCACTGAACCTTTCTGAGGGTGGAGCTAGTCCAGGGGTAGGCAACCTTGGCTCTTTTATGACTCGTGGACTTCAACTCCCAGAATTCCTGAGCCAGCCATGCTGGCTCAGGAATTTTGGGAGTTGAAGTTCACGAGTCATAAAAGAGCCAAGGTTGCCTACCCCTGGACTAGTCCATCCCCTGTGGTGTATTCTAGATAGCACGTGAGTTTGAACTGAACAGACTAGCAATTGCCGGCAGCCAAACAACTATTATGTACTAACACTATAGTGTCCTGGCTAATGTAACATTGCCATATGCTAAATAAAATGTAAAAGTGGCCCATGAACAGGGGCAATTAGCCTTCCTGGGAATGGGTCTCAAGGCCATAAGGGAAGTTGTTGTCCTGTACAGCTGTATCCTTAAAACCTATAGAGAAACATTTCCACCTGCATCAATATGCATACTACCCAGAGCCTTTGATAAACACCCAACTTTTTAAAAACAGTAAGAACACAATGAAATATAGTGCAGATCATGGAATTATTCTCACTGGGTTGCCTATAACCTTGAGCCTATTGCTGTGCATGAAGTGAAGTGAAAGGTGTTTAATTTTTAATTAAAAGTATAGGATAGGCAACCCAGGGCCATGGGGCCCATTGTCATTCTAAGAGAACAAATATGATGGAAGCCTGAAACATTCCCTCCCAACTTCATCTGAGAAAATAATCATAAAGCTTGTGATTATTCTGACTGAGGTTGTGAAAGAATGGCCAGAAGTGACTACTATGGCAGGGGATGGTAGGGATGGTAGTGATGGAAGGAACTTTGTAAGCATGTCCTTCTTCAGATGCACTCCCAGACTCTGTTGCTTTTTGTTAGTTGGCGCTAGCCTTCAAGGGGCAGCTGTGATGGGTGTATCTACCCATGCTTCTTCAAAGTGTAACACAAGCCTTGTTCCAAGAAATCATGAGTTACAGCCCTGTCTGGGAACTGCTTACAGAGACAGCTGTTGCCCCATTGGTCCCAGAGAATAGGAAATACCAAACAGGGAAGACAATCTCTCCCGTTGGTGGGATGGGGGTAGGGGGGAGAGATAAGTTCAGTTGTATTTATTTTGAGTGTTTTAGCCCACCCTGCCACTGGAGGCTGAGGATAGGGGCCAACATTTAATTAAATCAATAGTCAAAACATAACTTAAAACCAACAGCTAACCACCAAAATAACATCCAGATAGACTATAACCACAAGCATGGTCTCTCTCTCTCTCTCTCTCTCTCTCTCTCTCTCTCTCTCTCTCTCTCTCTCTCTCTCTCTCTCTCTTCCTCCCTCCCTCCCTCTCTCTCTCTCTCTCTCTCTCTCTCTCAACACACACACAAGCTTATCAAATAAAAAGGTTCCTTTTGCTTGGAGCTTTATCTGAAAATTCCAAAGAAACATGTGAGCAATTCCAAAGAATGTCTTCTGAGGAGCACCCAAGGGCAGTAAGTACCTCTGAAAGCCCTCACAGATAATAATCAAGTTTGCAATGTGAAGCAAGAAAGGAAAAGTGCAAATTCCAAGGACTTACTCTAAGATCTAATGACTTACCTAATAC